AGGGGATCAAAATGTACAAATTTCCAGTTATAAAAAAATAAGTCCTGGGGATATAATGCACACCATGATGACTATAATTAATAATACTGTATTGTATATTTTGAAAGTTGCTAAAAAAGTAAATTTTAAAAGTTCTCATCACAAGGAAAAATTTTTAAATACATATGGTGATAGATGTTAGCTAGACTTATTGTGATGATCATTTCACAATATATACAAATATTGAATCATTATGTCGTACACCTGAAACTAATAAAATGTTTTATATCACTTATACCTCAATAAAACAAAGTAAATATGAAAACAAATGTCAATAAAGTATACAAATTGTTCAAAAGAACTAATAAAGAGAAGGAAAGGTAGGAAACTCAGAAATATATAAAAATTAAATGGCAAACTCCTAAGCAACCAATGTGTCAAAGAAATCTCAGAGGAAATTAGAGAATACTTTGAGGTGAAGGAAAACTGAAACATAACATACCAAAACTTATAGATGCAGCAAAAGCAGTGGTTAGACGTAAATTTATAGCTGTAAGCACTGATAAAAAGAAAAAGGCCTTTCATTATAACCTAAGCTTCCATCTTAGGAAATAGGAAAAAGAAGAGCAAAGTAAACCCAAAGTGAAAGGAAGAAAATGAATAATAAAGACAAGAGCAGTAATACATGAAATAGAGAATCAGAAAGAAATCAGCAAACCTGAAACTATGTCTTTGATGTGATCAACGATTTAAAAACTCTTTAGGGAGACCCACCAAGCAAAAAAAAAAAAAAAAGAGTCAATTAATTAAAATCAGGACTGAAAGAGAGAACATCACTATCAACTTTACACAAATAAAAAAGGGTCTGAAGGCACACGGTGAACAATTGTATGCCAACAAATTAGATAACCTAGATAATACAAACAAATTCTTAGACACAAAGCTCTTTAAGTCATTCTAAAAGAGAAAATCTGAATAGCTCTAAAATAAGAAGAGATTGAACTAGGAATAAAAAAATTCCTGACTTAGAAAAGCCCAGAATCAGATGACTTTGATGATAAATGGTATCAAACACTTAAAGAAAAATTAGCACAATCCTTTGCAAACTATTCCAAAAACTAAAGAGGAAAGATCACTTTCAAACTTGTTCTACAGTACCAGTTTTACTCCAATGTCAAAACCAAAGACAGACTAATGTCCCTTATGAATATATATACAGAATTCCTCAACCAAATACTATCAAAGTGAATCCAATAACACATCCAATGGATTATCACTATGTATAACTGTGATTTATCCCAGGTTTAACATCTAAACGTCAATCTATATAAAATACCATCCTAATAAAGGACAAAAACCACATTATCGTTGTAATGGACACATAAAAAGTATCTGAGAAAACACAAAAAATGTTTCACAATAAAACCCCCCAAAAAACTTCAAATAGAAGAGAACTTCCTCAAGTTTATAAAGGCAATCTATGAAACACCCATGGCCAACATCATACTTAATAGTGAAACAGTAAAAGCTTTCCCTTTAGATTAGGAACAAGAAAAACATCCTCTCCTGTCACTTCTATTTAATACTATACTGGAGGTTCTAAACACAATTAAGTAAGAAAAAATAAATAAAACCCATTCAGGTTAGAAAGGAAGATGTAAAACAATCTCCAGTCACAAGTAACATGATCTCATATCCCAAAGAATCCACTAAAAACTACCACAGCTAATAAAGAAGTTCAAGGTAGAGGAAACAAAGTCAATATACAAAAAAATCAACTGCATTTCTCTACATTAGGAAATTAATCTTGAATTAATTTTAAATTAAGTATATTAAACTAATTTTAATTTAAAAAAATTAATAATATAATTCCATTTACATAGAATCAGAAAGCACAGAATACTTAGGAATAATTATCTGAAAGAATTGCAAGGCCTGTACATTGAAAACTAGAAAACACCATAAAAGAAATTTTAAAAGACATAAATAAATGCAAAGATATCTAGTTTTCATGAATTGTAAGATTTAATATTATAAAAATGGCAACACTCCCAAACAGATTTATAGATTCGATATAATTCTTATCAAAAATCCCAGCTGCTGCCCAGCCAGCGGCGTGGCTCAGCGGTTGAGCGTCGACCTATGAACCAGGAGATCTCGGTTTGGTTCCCGTCAGGGCACATGG